CTGGATATGGGATGATTTAACACAAGCCCACTTTCACTGGGCTTAGTGCCTCCACTCAAGCAACATCATGTGGTAATCATGATGGTGGACTGGGGGGTGGGACCTCCTGAATCAAATCCCTCCTCTTTTTGCTACTGGTTGTGTGACCTCCTTAACCTTTCTGTGTCTCACTTTTGTTATCTACATAGTTGAGCTAATTAATAGCACTTATCTCTTAGGGTTATTGTGAGTATTAGATAATTTCTTAAATGCAAAGTGCTTGAAACAATATACACTGCCGCCATTATGGTGATCATAATGACAGAATATTCCAAGGCCACATCTTCTCTTAAGTTACCACCTAGCCTGAGCAAGAGCAAGACCCCATCTCTACCCAAAATAGAAAAATTAGCTGAGTGTGGTGGCGCACACCTGTAGTCCCAGCTAGTTGGGAGGCTGAGGCAGGAGGATCACTTGAGCCCAGGAGTTTGACATTGCAGTGGGTTATGATGATGCCACTGCACTCTAGCTAGGTGACAGAGCGAGACCCTGTCTCAAAAAAAAAAAGTTATTGCCTCACATTTCACCTTTAATCATTTTATTTTTTTCTTTAACTTTTATAAAAATTTATTATATCATGTTTCCCTATTTTTAATTCCTAGCTAAAGAGACTTTGCCCCCTCACCTCCTTACTGCTAGACTTGATTAATGGAATTCAGATGTTGACCAAATCTTGATCAACATATTATTTTGTAAGAAAATAATTGGATATATTTTCATCAGAATATTATTTTTTCCAGAATTTTGCTTTCCTTAATGCTCGGATTGTCACAGCTTGAACAGTGAGATCTGTTTTCAAAAACAGTTGGCTTTTTTTCCTTTTCACACTACCCTAGCTCTCTGGTAGTAACACTATCATTATACATACAAATTTTACACATAAAATTTGGATGATGGACTTGCATAACTCGTGGTTCCATGTGGGAATGGGTTTTGTATGATGTTGTAAAGCCTGTACTACCTTGTCTTATTTTTTTGTATTGTTACTATTAATTAATGACAGAGTAAGAAAACGTATATTTCTGAAAGGTTATGAGTTCACAATAATACAACTTAAATCCAACTTCATAACGTCTTACTATCTTGTATTAATACAAAATATTTAAAAATTTTTCTGAGCTATCAACTTCTTTCTTCTCATACATATGTTCTCACCATACGATCTAGTGGATCATATTTTTTACTAGATTATTCCCGTCAGCATTCAAATATGCTGTCATTAAAACTAACACAAAACACCTGACTCTCCTTACTAGACACTGTTCCATTTCTTTCCTTGCTTGTCTTTAATTGCTGTCTCTAATTCCTCTCCTCCTATTCTTTCTTACGTTCAAATCCAATCAGGCATTCACCTCTACCACGACAGACAAACTGCCTCTGTAAAAGTGAACCCTATGTTGCTAATTCCAGCGGTTAGCTCTTAACTCTCATTTTATTTGCAGCATTTCAGAGTTGATTATTACTTCTTCCTTGAAACATACTCTTCTTTTGACTTCGCAGTGGCCCCTTCCTTCCTTCCCTCCTCCCTCCCTCCCTTTTTTTTTTTTTTTTTTTTTTTGAGACAGAGTCTCACTCTGCTGTCTGGGCTAGAGTGCTGTGGCATCATCATAGCTCACAGCTCACAGCAACCTCAAACTCCTGGGCTCAAGTGATGCTCCTGCCTCAGCCTCCCAAGTAGCTGGAACTATAGGCATGCACCACCACACCCAGCTAATTTTCCTATTTGTAGTAGAAACACGGTCTCACTCTTGCTTAGGCTAGTCTTGAACTCCTGAGCTCAGGCGATCCTCCCGCCTCAGTCTCCCAGAGTGCTAGGATTACAGGCATGAGCCACCACGCCCGGACTCCTTTCTGTTTTACAAACTTTTTATTGTAATCAGAAGGGAACACAAATCATAATTGTACAGCTTGATGAATTTTCACAGAGTGAAAATTTTTATTGTTACCAACACCCAGATCAAAACAGAACTTTATCTGTTTGTGGTAGGCTAAATAATGGCCCCCAAACATATGCAGGTCCTAATCCCTAGAACCTGTGAATGTCACCTTATATGGCAAAAGGGACTTTGCAGATGTGGTTAAGCCACTACATAAATTAAGAAAATATGTACCAGTTTTGTTAAGAATTTTCAAGCAATTGTTCACCATTTCAGAAAAATTATATCACTAGTCAGTGCATGATATTTGAAACACCTGTACAATACTGCTTTATTGGTATGTTTTTAGCTCTTGTTTTCTAACTACTTCATTATGCCATCAAATGTATATATTCTTGATGATTGTCCTATTTAAAAACATATTGTGTTGAAATTACTTTCTTTTTCTCATTTATAATAGAATAAGGTATTATTTGATTTTTAAATCAAATTTTTAAAAGTTGTGTGTTTAGCTAAGTTATATTATTTATTATTGTCATTTTATAGAGCAAAAGAATGTTTAAAAAGCACTTATAAAAGTGATAACTGGGTCTGATCCAGACTGTCCAAATTGTCTTTTCTGGAGGAATTGCTAGGCTTAGTAATATGCTATTTAAATTTTCTCATATTTTTGCAGTAAATAAAAATAATGCATGCTTGTTGTGAAACATGAAGAGTGAATACTGTATTTTGTTTAATGTTAAAAGTAAAACTCTCCTCCTCATCTCCACAGCAGTGGCCACTGTGCACGATAATTTTTATGAATTTTTCCAGTAAATCAAACATACATGGCACTGTATATGCACATGCACAAATACCATAACTTTTTTCTTCTGGATTGTGATAAATATACTATTCTGACTACCCCTTTGTTTAGATTTATCTTCCAGATTGTATATTTAGATCACTGCACAGTTTTGGATAATATCTTTATATTTCATTTTTTGTATACCTCTGAAAATGAGGTTATTTTTCCAATGTAGTTTATATTACTTTTGATCTATTAGAAAGACATTAATGTTATGGAAATATAATGTATAGAACAATAAAAAAAGAATCAGCATGGAAATATAAGACTTGTACAATGCTGTAAATGAAGACATAAAAGATATCCGTAGAACACTCTATACAACAGCAGAAGACATGTTTTTCACAAGTGCACAAAGAATATTCTCCAGGATAGAGCGTATGTGTGTTAAGCAATAAAACAATCTCAATAAATTTAAAAGGATTAAAATCATACAAAGTATGTTCTCAAACCACACTGAAATGAAATTGGATATCAAAGATAGAAGGGCCAGGTACAGTGGCTCATGCCTTTAATCCCAGCTACTCAGGAAGCTAAGGTAGGGGGATCACTTGAGGCCAGGAGTTTGAGACCAGCCTGGTCAACATAGCAAGACGTCATCTATTAAAAAAAATTTAAAAACACAAAAAAACAAAATAGATGGACATTTGGGAAATTAGAAAATATATGAAAGTCAAACATAACTGAGTCAAAGAAGAAATCACAAGAAAAATTGGAAAACACTGAGATTACTGAAAATGAATATACAAAAAAAACCTCATGCAGTGGAAGTATGGCTCAGTGGGAAACACAACTGTAAACACCAAAATTAAAAGAAGTTCTCAAATTACCTAAGCTCCCACCTTAAGAAAATAGGAGAAGAAGAGCAAGTTAAGCCCAAAGCAAGCATAATAATGAAAATAATAAAGATTAGAGTGGAAATAATGAAATAGAGAATAGAAAAATAATAAATCAATGAAAATAAAATTGATTCTTTGAAAAGATCAACAAAATTGACAAACATTAAGCTAGACCAAGAAAAAAAGAGAGAAGACTCAAATTACTAAAATCGGGAATGAAATAGGGGACATTACTGCCAACCTTACAGAAAAATTTTTTAAAAGTATTACAAGGGATACCATGAAAATTGTATGTGAACAAATTAGGTAATCTAGATGAAATGGACTTTTCTGACTACATCTGCTTTCCTTGCAGATGCATAGAAATAGGGAGTCTTTTCTCCATCTTATCTTGCAGAGTCCTTTTTCAGAAATTTAAAAGTCCTATATCTTTGAAGGACAATGTTCAACACTTGTGAAAAGAAGGGAAAAAATAAAACAAGCAAAAAAGAACAATGTGGACACCCTTTATATATTGGTATGGAAATATCTCTAGTATCTAGTGTTAAGTATAACACATAAAGTGAAGGATTGTGAATATATTATGCTACCTTTGGATAATAAAAGGAGAAACACTAATGTATATTTGTCTTTAGTTGTAGAAAAGCCACTCAATTTAGTTATGTATGAGACAGGGTACAGGTGGGGATAAAGTCCTCACTGGTTAACTTGTCATACCATTTTGTTTTTGTGCCATATGCATTCATATTGTGGTCAAAATAAATAAATAAAAATTTTAAAAATTGTATTGCTTTAAATAACATCAAGATTGTGAGCCAGGGTTCCATTGGATCTTTGGAGATATCTCTAGTGTGTCTGCTATGTGCCAGACTAGGGTTTACAAAACTAAGAATACAGCAGTGAGCAAAACAATCAATGGCCCTTGCCTTCATGGAGCTAACATTTTAGCGGGGAAGACAGAAAATAAACAATAGTTGTAATAAACAAGTAAAGTATACAGGTGATCCCCAGGTTAGGGACGAGATACGTTCCTGAGAACATCTTTAGGTCAGATTTGTATGTAATTCAGATCCCTGGTGAACAGCACGTATATGGTAATAATAACAACAATACTACAATAGCTCATATGTGGTAATAATAATACAATGTAATAATAATAGTAATAATACCCCTGTACTGTAATAATAAGTTACAGAAAATATTGTCCTCTTTCTTTTAATTCAAACAAAAGAACACAAAAACAAACTCATACAAAAAGTTTAGATAGGAGATAGGAGACATTTCTAAGAAGAACTAGCCCCGACACGACGAAATGTCCCTACCTCCCGAGCCTCGATTTCCCTAGGCGATTTCCCTGCCACTTGGTTCCCGCACCCCCAGCCCCCAAGCTGTGCCCACCGTAAAGAGGCGGGTCCGAGACCACGCTCGGTCCTCCAGCGCGTTCCACACGGAGGAAAACCCGCAGGGTCAGCCGCTCCTCCTGCCGCGAGCTATAGTGGGAAACTACATTACCCAGAAGGCTGTGCATGGTGCGAGCGGCGGGCGCTGGGCCAATGACGGCCGTTTCCTGCGGCCCCCTCGGGCGGGGGCGGGACTTCTGGGTGGTTTGCTGTTGACGCCATTTTCCCTTCGCTTGGTCCTGAGAGATCTTGAGTTGCTGAGGAGCCGGGTCGGAGCCCCGTTCCAGGCTTGTCGTCAGGACCGAGTAGGGAAGAAGGATAGGGATTCCCGCCGCACCTTTGTACGAGCCAGACCCCGTGTGGCGGGGGTGTTCCCTGGTCGCCCGCCGGGCCGCGGCCTCTCCTCACCGGCCTTTCAGCCCTGCAGTCGCCAAGGGCGGCGCCCTGGGCCTCGTACGCCATTTCCACGAAGGAGACAGCGGCCCCGAGTGCGGCCGTCAACCGCGGTCGCCCGGCCAGGGCAGGGCACGCGGAGGGGGTCGGCCGAGCCGCCCCGGTGCTCGCCTCTCCCAGCCCTGTGCGGCCCACAGGGTCCCTTGATGGCAGCGGCGGTGTCGTCGCCGACGGAGCGGACGCAGGTGAGTGACTTCACAATTGCCGCTCCCCTGCCGGGGCGGAGACGGTGCTTGAAGGGGGTGGCAGCCAAGGTATCCGGTGGATTTCTCTCTGCGGTTTTTCGTTTTGGGATGTGGAGCTGGCTTGCTAGTTAATTTATCCCCAGCCCTAAAGGGTGTTAGCACCTGAAAGAAGCTCGGTAAGTTGTGGAAAGAATGAATGATTCTTCCTTCGGAGTCTGCCATCGTAAAAGCATCATGCAAGCACCCACCCCGGTCGACCGGACCTCGTTCCAGCGGGGCATCGGAGGGTTTGGAGGGCAGGGCCTTCCAGGCCTCCGAGAGGAAGAAGCACGTGGACAGAGGCAAGGCATGTTGTCCGCTGAAGGAGGCCCAGGAGGACCGGCGAGGTTCCCAGGGTTCCCTCTGGCTGCTGAGACGGGGAGGGCAAGATCACGTGGTCTTTTCCTGTGTTTCACCTTCTCTTCAGCTAGTACAGACCCGTCAGAGGCCCTTATTTTCATCTCCACAGCCAGTTGTGTTCTCTGGCCCTAAAGTATCCTCAGAGACAAGTGCAGTCAGGAGTCAGCAAAGAAAAAAGAAGCGAGTAGTTTATTGGGGAATTTCCTGAGGGCCTGAGAGGCCCAGGTAGAGTGCAGAGGGTGTGGGAAGCTGGTGTGGGCCCTCTCATTCCCCAGGTAGATGCCACCCCTTCCGGTGCTTTTGTTGTGAGATCAGTGATGAGGATTCAGTTTCTTTTGTCTGTGTGCACAGATATGTTTTCAGCGGTAATCGAGATAGATTTAATAGCAAAAAATGACAGGAATGCTTTACAACCTCATTACTTCAGGTTCATTTTGGTGATAAAGTGTCGAGTTACACTATTAGACTCTGGTCCAGAGTTAGTCTGTGTGCAGATCCTCTAGTGGTAGGATGTGTGACTCCGGGTGAGTTGGTAAAGCTGCTTTGGCCTCAAGTCACTGTGACACGAAGATGATGGTGTTGATATCAGGGACTGTGGGAGGATTAATAAAAATTCCAGAACACACAGAGCATTGAACAATTTTCCTTTCTTTCTTTTTTTTCTTTTTCTTTCTTTCTTTCTTTCTTTTCTTTTCTTCTTTTTTCTTTCTTTCTTTCTTTGTTTCTTTCTTTCTTTTCTTTCTTTCTTTTTTTTTTTTTGAGACAAAGTTTCTTTCTGTCACCCAGGCTAGAGTGCATTGGCATCATCATAGCTCACTGCAACCTGAAACCTCCTGGACTCAAGTGATCCTCTTGCCTCAGCCTCCCGAGTAGCTGGGACTACAGGCTCACACCACAACGCTTGACTGATTTCTCTATTTTTTGTAGAGACAGGTCTCGATTTTACTCAGGCTGGTCTTGAACTCCTGGCCTCAAGCAATCGTCTCACCTTGGCCTCCAGAGTGCTAGCATAACCGGCATGAGTCACTGCACCCAGCCTTAATTTTTCTTTAAATCTCACCAATGTTATTGGTGATGTGGGGACTCTTCTATTGATCCAGACATCAAAGCTCAGACAAATAAACTGCTTGAGAGGTGACACAACTGGGTTTAGATTCAGACCACAAGAGTTTGACTTGAGAACTGGGGACTTTTAGTCACTTTAACACAGGATATGAAGCCTTTGACATGAGGCAGGCACCTGGCTGAACCAGTGAAGCTCAAGCACGGCTGTTATTACCATTATGGCTGTTTTTGTCATTATCATATCCTCATTCCCCTGATATCTTAGAGGCTTTATTGTCTACATCTCCCAGTTCACAAGTTGTTCCTATTTTCCTATGTCGTTCTATAATAGTTCCCATATACAAGGCTTCTTTCCCTTACTCTGTATTATTTCCAAAGCACCATCCACCTCTCCCTTGAGCTCAGCACAGAGCTTGGCCCTTAGGAGGTGCTTAGTGATTCAGGCCTTGATCTCTCAACATTTTCCCTTGATCACATTCAACAGCCCAGCGGTCAATGGTACTACCTCTATTTGACTTTCCAGATGTCTGTGACCTTTGACGATGTAGCCGTGACTTTCACCAAAGAGGAATGGGGGCAGCTAGATCCGGCTCAGCGAACCCTGTACCAGGAAGTGATGCTGGAAAACTGTGGGCTCCTGGTGTCTCTGGGTAAGGCCTTCCACCTCCACCATGCACGGGACCTGCCTCCTCCTTTCTAACCTCTACCTCCACACCTGGCTGGTTAAGAAGGCCTCTAGAACCTGCCTTGCCTCCTTCCCACAACTTCTCACTTTCTGGACTGACCGCTTCCTATCTGGTCTCCATGTGTCTCTTTGGGCAAGAAACAGTATTCCTTGGCTCGCGGCCAAAGGAGAAGAAAGTGTTAGAAGGCAGTGGGGTGTTTTGCGGAAGCCAAAGGTAGGATTTCCGGCTGCACCTTAATAAGGCAGTGATGGGGGAACTATTAATAGAATCCCCACAGTTGTGTCCTGGCTTCTCTCCCTGGGTCTGCTCATCTCACTGTCTACTGAGTATAGCTTTTTCTGCCTTAGTGAGTTTGGGGCAAGAGTGGCCACCCCAGGCCTTGTTTTCTGACCCCTAGATTCCTTTTCTCTATTTCTCTGGTCTCTGTGGGGTATCCTGAGGCAGCAAGTGCTGCCACCCCATCCCAAGCCCACACTTTCCTGGATTCTCACCCAGTGCCCAGCAGAGATGGGCCCCTGTCTGAGGCCCTTTTTTATAGTTCCGGAGAAGAATCTGACTGAGGGAGCCTGGGTGGCTCAGGTATTCCCTCCACAGCTGAGTTAACAGGGTCAGGCATGATGGGATGTTCTCCAAGAAAGGGGCGAGTCAGGCAGACTCCCAGGAGGCGTTTGTTTTTCAAACAACACAATCTCAACCATGAGGCTTCTTTATTTTCGTGTGCCGTCCTCATGATTTCCTTTCCTAAGTACAGGACCTCTGCTAATGTGAAGGGAGAGAGGTTTAGAGCAGTGCTTCTCAACAGTTGACTGTTTTGCCCCCCAGGAGACACTGGCAATGTCTGTAGTCACTTTGTGTTGTCACCTCTGGGCTGCGGGTGGTCCTGGCATTGGGTGGGTAGAGTCCAGAGATGCTGCTAAACGTTCCACAGTGCACAGGACAGCCTTCAACGAAGCAATGTCAGGAGCGGCAAAGGCGAGAAACACCAGCAT